ACGTTAGGAAACAAAACTTCCAGAACTCGGCCACACAGCCCGGAAGACCCACACCAGCCATAGAAAGGATCTCCTTTGGATGATCAACTGAGTGGCCAGCTTCTCAAACTCAGGACAAGTTCTGTGTTAAAAATAAATAAATAAATAAATAAATAAAAATGGGGGGGGGGGCTAAATGAGGCATTAAGGCTATCTGCTAAATACTATGAGTTAATGGCAGGTCTTCCAATACAGAAGAAAGCAAGGTGAAGTTGAACTTTATTTATTAACATGGGAATTGTAATGATCCCAAAGGAGAGATTCCTTGAAATAGAATAGAAAACAGAGATGACTTAACTTCTTTCTGCAGAGGATAACTTTATCCAACAATAGAGAATCCATATTTAAAGAGATTGGCAGAGTCTTCTTCTCAGTTGAAGAATTCAGAGGTAAGTGCTATACTCTTTCATTCATTCCAGTTATTAAAACATTGCCAAATTGTGGGTACCTGTAATTCACCCAAATATTATAAAATGAATAATGTTTATATGTTCTTATTCCTGAAATAGAGCAACTCTTGGTTCTGGTAGGTAGTTACAGAATTGCGATGAGAAATGAATTAGTTTTATTTTGACTCCAAATCATATAAAACTGATGACAGGCCCTTGATGCAAACTCATGGTAGGTTTTTAATGCTTTTTTTGTAGTGATCCAATATGTAATCAGCTGGCTTTTCTTATTGCTTAAATAAGTATCTTAGAAATCTGAAAATATTACTTACTATTACTATTACTATTACTATTACTATTACTATTACCATTACGTTGATAGAAAACTGAGATTATTATTATTATCAGTCTGCAAGCTATACTCACCTGCTAGCAGTCATCACACTGAACTCAATGAGCATGGAAGGTGGGATAAGATTTTTAAAGAATGTATGCATATCTAAAAGCCAGGAGTATTTGTAACTCTACAACTGTGTATAAACATTGGCTAAGAATCCTGTAACAGTTAAATTGAATTAAGTCCCAGTGATGGTAGCAAATTAGAATACAGAGAAAGACATATTAATTTCCCTTCAAGTAAAAGAGTGAGATAGAGAAGGAGGAAAGGAAGGAAGAAATAGAATTATTTATTGGATTTGTTGAATTACTAGAAAATATTCTTTGAAAGAACAATTCCTTCTTGTTAATTTTATCCCATTCTGGCTTTCTTGAAATCCAGGTAAAGAGGAATTTAGCAGAATGATATGTCTGTCTATCTGTCTATCTCTCTAAATAGATATTAAGACTAAATACATATTAAGGATGACATATAGCTGTAATATCGCTCTACCTATTTTTCCTTCAGTAATTATGTTTTACAGTCTATATATTATTTTTTTGTCCACAATCATTCAGAGATACATAATAAGCAACCCAGAGAGGCTTCTTTCTGAACAAATGTTCTGATTAATTTGCAAATTCTGAATTTTGTCATTTTTTCTTCAGTTGCTTCATAATCTTAATTATACACATATACATTTTCCTTCACTTCTTCATATAGGAAAACTGATGTCAAGTGATACTTTTAAAAAATATTTTAATGCAGTTTCAAGAAATTGATTATTTTAAATACCGTGCACAGATTTCTCTTTCCCACTTCCCTCAATGCATTATTGTTCTTCAACCACAACCTGATATTTTATTTTATTCTAAGCATTTTAACATAATCTTAAGGAATGGATCATTTCAAATCTTGTGCACAAGTATTTTTATACCACTACCACCCAACCTATTATTGCTTCTCATCGATATCCTGATATTGTGGAATTCTTAAGGACAACTGAGGATTTCTGCAAAATTTTATATTACTATTGCTTAAAGGGAAGATAATGTCCATGCATAGGGAATGTATAAGCATGTTTCCTCCTAAATTATATTATGTGTCTATTGAACTTTTCAAATGAAAGAATTTCACAAGGATTTTTATCTATGTTTTGGCAGTAAATTGATATTAATAATCTATATTGAAAAATCATTGCCCCAAATTGATTTCTTCTACTAATTTCCAATCATAATATGTTTTTGTACAGAATGATTGAAAGAACTAGAATAGCCAACAAATCCATGGTGAGAGAATTCCTTCTGATGGGATTTTCTGATGACCACGACGTACAATTTCTTCATTTTGTCATGTTTCTAATCATTTACTTAGTAGCTTTAACTGGGAATTTAGTCATTGTGTTTGTTGTAATCCTGAACCAACACCTTCATACCCCCATGTACTTCTTTTTGGTCAACCTGTCCCTGACTGATATTACTTACATCACAACCACTGTCCCCAAATCAATGGCAGTTTCTCTGACAGATAACAAAATAATTACTTTGCCTGGATGTGTGGCTCAGGTTTTCTTAGTTATTACTAGTGCATGTTCTGAGATCTTCTTGCTTACCATCATGGCTTATGACCGTTATGTAGCTATCTGCCATCCCCTACAATATACCCTTATCCTGAACTGGGATACATGCAATCAAATGGCAGCTACTTCCTGGGTCAGCTCCCTGCTTTATGCATCTCTACAAACAGTCATCACTTTCCAATTAAACTTCTGTGGGCCAAACATGATTGGGCAATTTTTCTGTGATATTCCTCAGTTACAAAAAATTTCTTGCACAGATACAAAAGTTAACCAAATTCTGATTTGGATATTTGGATTAATTGTTGGTTCCTTTTGTATTGGATTCATATTTGCATCTTATGGCTGCATTATCTCTGCTGTGCTGAAGATTCCATCAGTTGAAGGCAGATACAAAGCCTTCTCCACTTGCAGTCCACACTTAACAGTTTTTTCTTTATTCATGTCTACAGCTTTCTTTTCATATCTGAGGCCAAAATCTTTTTCCTTTCCCACTCTAGACTTACTCTCTGCTGTTTCATATACAGTTTTGCCTCCTATTTTGAATCCCATTATTTATTGCCTCCGGAACAAGGACATGCAAGCAGCTGTGTGGAAACTAATGTCAAAAATAAAATGAATGTTGTAACCTGATTGAATCATCTTCAGTCTGACAAATTTAATAATCTGCTAATGTTTTTAACATCTGTTTTTGTGAAACTGTGAATGATCCTCCTCACGTTGCATCTTTCTCCATTTTTATAGTCTAATCTATAGGACAATCTCCCAGCCTTTTGGTTTGAATGTTGCAGGTATTTGGATATAAGGGAGGGGACGGGGGAGTTATTTAAGACATAACTTTGTACAATTGAAACATTGGACTCCATTCTTTGCTTCTTATTGTTTATGACTGTTACATTAATACAATATTTATTCAGATAATTATATTTTTTTCCCTTTAGGATCAGGATGTACCATTTCCCAGTTGAGTAGTTTAATTACTCAATTAATCATGGTATTGTTATAGATATTTACTTTAATATATACAGGCACAGTAAGGCAATTGAATAACTGTACTAGATCACATCTATTTTTGTTCAACCAGTGATAACCTTAGCCCAACATATTACAGGACTTCATTCTCTGAAATAGGCAAATTTCTTTTCAGAAAGTTGGTTGGGAGATAACCAACCACTTTCCACTTACTATGACTAAGGTAACATACAAATGCTGGCTTTAGATTTTATGAATAAGTTTTTTCCACATCAACCAATAAAATAGTGAAACAGTGCATAACAAATGATCTTTACCGGGTTTCAATATAATTGTAATATATGCTTCATTAAATGAAGATAAGACAGAACTGTTAAATTTTTTATTATATAGTTGTTAGATTTTGGGGAAAAAGTGTATCACCAATGACTTTATATCATTTACCAAAAACCCATGAAGTCCTGGTACTTTACTTGTAATCAAAATTCTTTTTTGATCTCATTTATAGCCAAAGGGCCAACTAATAACTGATTTTAAAAAATCCTTATTTGGGAACATAAAAAGCATTTTAGTCAAGACAGTTCTAAGTGGCATGACAAAATGAATAATTGCAACCTATGCAATAATAGTAACAAGAGAATAATAAGAGAAATACAGTATATAATACTGGTAAGTTTTAGACTTGATCTAATATTCCTGGAGCCAGGAGTTCTACATCACTTAAGCCCCAAAGACATTTTGGGGAATAACCAAGTTTTTACAAGTTTGGAAGGCCTAGAGAATGGGACCTATCCTTGCCTTGGATGGGAAACGTTTCTTCAGAGGAAAGAAGTCCCCATGGGGAAGACCCACCTTCAGATCTCCTTCATTCACAGGCATTCTCTGTGCCTTGGATTTGCAGACAGAATCTATATGGGACAGGCAATCTCAAAAATACCAAGCTCCTAATGACTAGGGCTTTATAGAAGATAAATTGTACTCAGAAACATATTGGTTACTAAGGGAGCCCCCACAGCAATGATGTAACATGACAATGACAAGACTGTATAGATGGGGTACTGCACCACTTGGTGGGGTCTTCAAGAGCAGCCCCATATAAAACAAATTACAGTAATCTACATGGGAGATGATGAGGCCATGAGTAACCATCATCAGTGTCCCCTGTTCTAGGCAAGACTGCAATTGGTCTTTCCCTGAGCTGGGAAAGACCATTCTGGCCACAGTATTTACCTGCTATTCCAGCATGAGAAATGAATCCAGACTGCTGGCCAGCTTTCCATGGTGGAGGCCTTCACCACTGAGAGTTGAAGATGCTATAATCTCAGAAAGTGTTGGCTTCTCAATAAATAGTCTCTGTTTTGGGGGTTAAATATGAGCCTCTTCCTCCCCATCCAGACCCTGGCAGCCTATGAACACTGGTCAGGGCTTTCATTGAATCCCCCACTTGGCCTGGGATCATACATCCCCCCCCCGCCAACTCTCTCCCCATGTTTTCACATACTTGTTAAACAGGATAGGAAGAAGACTGAATCCTAAAGATTGCCATAATGGAACAACTGAAGACCAAACCTCTCCCTCTGTTTGACAACTAATTGGAACTTTTCACTTAGTAAGGAGTGGAACTGCCAAGATCTGATGAGATTTTTCACTATTTTCCCAGTATTTTTATATAAACATGTTAACACAAAATCACTTCATTGTGATATGATAGGATTTAACTCTTATTAAATTGTTGTTGTATCCGTACATAGATTGTAGTTAGGCATCTGGCCATCTGTATCCAGAAGGTTTTCATTTATTTTTGAAATCAATCTCATGCATATTTTAAGGGATATATATACATATACATATACATATACATATACATATACATATACATATACATATACATATACATATATATACACAGTATACACACACACACACACACACACAATGATAAGTATATGCTTCTAAGCTTTACAAGTGTCCCATTTAATTCAAAATATTGCAATGTCTCAGAATCCATCTACTTCATAAATTCATTATTATTAATTAGACATTAAAATACCATTCTGCAGACAGCTTAGTAAGCTATTGAAGTTGTAAATGTAAATGGGTTTCCTTCCAAACCCAACAAAGACGCAAGTGGAGATAATCTTACTGCAATATTCTTTTATTAGGCAGTGAAGAGTCCGCACCTTACGATAGCATGGAGGATTGAAAGATGAAGACTCCGAGAAATTGCTTTGCCTCTTTGCCCTTCTTACAATTTCAAGACAATTATTTTTTGTTTCTGGAGATACTGGACTAACTACTGGGACCTTGTTGTTGGGACCGTAGGATAAAATAAGTAACTGATATACCACAAAAGCTCTCCACTTAATTATTCAAACTTAAAAAGTTAACCAAATTGTCCTTCTCTCAAAAATGTGCAGATTCTGAATGAATGTAATCCGGGCAGGGGGAGACAGACTTCAAGGTGACATAAATTAAGAGGTGGAAACCAGATGTCAGGGTACAGAAAAAGTGATTGAGCCATTCTGAGGCTCAGAAATAAATGAGAATGAGGATTATCAGCTCAGAAAAAGATCTGTTTGTTTTGAATATGTGGTTTAAACAGAACTTTATCCATGTATATTGATTTGATTATGATGAAATAGTGAGATAATTAATGGATAGAAGAGTGGTGAGCAAGATTACTGTTTTTTCATGTCAAAAATGGTTATTGGGGAAATGATGTTGGGCATTTGGAGAAAAAGAAAAAGAAAAAGAAAAAGAAAAAGAAAAAGAAAAAGAAAAAGAAAAAGAAAAAGAAAAAGAAAAAGAAAAAGAAAAAGAAAAAGAAAAAGAAAAAGAAAAAGAAAAAGAAAAAGAAAAAGAAAAAGAAAAAGAAAAAGAAAAAGAAAAAGAAAAAGAAAAAGAAAAAGAAAAAGAAAAAGAAAAAGAAAAAGAAAAAGAAAAAGAAAGAAGTGAAAGAAAGTAGAATGAAAAGCAAAACAAATGTAGGAAATGATTGTATGATTCCTGCACAGAAAAAATATATATTAGATGTATGAAAAAGTATTACTGTACAAAGAAGATTAATCTCTAAACAGAGTAAAAGGAAATTGAACATAAGGAAATTTGATGTGGCTTCTGCTAGGAACAAAGGGAAAATAATTATATTACAGCCATAGAAGTGTGTGAAGTTACTCTGATGGGAAGTTATGAAGGATTCATGTGCAGTGATAGAGTGAACTAAAGGCCATGCATAAATATAGGAGAATTATCACTGTGAAACATGAAGGTAAGAGAACAACAATTTTGTATTCTTGGAAATTTGGTCCAAGGTCTGGGGAGGCCTTGGGAAGGCCAGTAGAGGTAATGTGCAGGCGGGAAGTGCTACAGAAAGGAGAAAAAGTGATAGGAGCAACTTACCAGAGTGACTTGCAATGTGCCTGTTGACTTCCCCATTGATTTTGCTTGTGGGAAGCCAGGAAAGAAGGTCGCAAATGGTGATCATCTGATCATGGCTCACTGTGACATCATAATCGTGGGTCAGGCACCCGAGTGCCTGGATTATGATCATGCGACTGTGGGGGTACTGCAACAGCAGGAAGTTTGAGGACCAGCTGTATATCCATTTCTTTCAGCACCTTTGAATGGTTGTTGAACGAATGGACATAAGCCAAAGACTACCTATATCACTGTTATTCACATACAAGCCTGTAAAATTCTCTTACTGTTTCTTAGCCTCTATCTTATCACAAGTAATTTTGCCACTTTTATTTCTGATTTCATTCACTTTGCTGGAGGCTCCTGGTTTAGCCCTCTTCACCAACTTCCAAAATATTTTTTAGTCTTTTTTTTGTTTTTGTTTTTGTAATAACTTTATTAGCGTTTTTATACAAGAAAGATAAAAACTAACAAACTAATATTTACAGTAGAGGAAAAATAAGTAAAGGGAAAAAAAAGACTAAGCCAACAGTGCAGAAAGGGAAAGAAAAAAAATATTAAAAAAGTAACTTTCAATTTTCTTTTACAGCAGTTATAAGTATAAATGTAAATTAACCTCTTGCTCTATTACAACATAACTTTCATTTTTTCTATAAACTATTTTTTCTAGTCATCTAAACCATATATCATCAGTTCATTTTATTCTGTTTCATGCAAAAAGTCCAAAAAAGGTTTCCAGTGTTAAACTTAATGTCTTTTCTCTGATCAAAGTTGTCAATTTAGACATCTCAGCAAGTTCCATCATCTTTACCATCCATCCCTTTACTGTGGATAGTGTCACCATTGTGCATATAATAGTCCCATTGCAATTATCAGATAAAAATAAAGTTCTGTGACTTTTTCCAAGTTTTTGTCAGTCCCAAAAGAAACACCTCTGGCTTCAATTTTATATTAATCTTCTGAATTAATGTATGTTAATTTTTTTTTTGCGTTTTTACATGTCCACCAAGCATGGTAAATTGTCCCCTCTTGTTGTTCACATTTCCAGCATAAATTCAAAGTACCTTTATACATTGTAGATTTTTTTTTTCTGGTGATATATACTAATGCTACATAATTTTATAAAAATTCTCTTTAAGGTTATAACATAACGTAAATTTCAATCCTTTCATCCACATATTCTCCCATTGTTCCATTTGTATGTTGTAACCAAAATCTTTAGCCCATTTATTCATACATTCTTTCACCTCTTCTTTTGTTTCAAATTTTAGTAAAAATTTATGCATTTTTAGCAATAAATCCAGCAGACTGTAAATTCTAGTCCCACCTTAGGCCTAAAAGCCAGCTGGGTAATTTTGGTGCAGTCACTCTCAGCCCAATATACTTCACAGGGTTGTCGTGCAGGAAAAAAGAGGAGGAAGGAGTATTATGTATGTTCACTGCCTTGAGCTATTTATAAAAAAAAAATAAGAAAGGTGGGATAAAAAATCTAATAAATAAATAAAATCCTAATAATCTGTACACAACTCTGCTTCAAACTCAGTTTTACAATGTTCAAAACCAAAAGTTATTTTATCTACTTTATATCTTTCTAGTAATTGTACATAGGAAAACTATTGACAAGTATATCCTTCTGATGCCAGATCTTCTCTTGATTTTATTTTGCATTTTCCTTGAGAGAATTCTAATGTGTCACCATAAGTTAGCCATTTATATTCAGTTATCATTTCTCTTCTATAATATGCTTCTTGTGCTGAGAAGCACAAAGGTATTTTTGGCCACAGTTTAGGTTTATATCTATTACATATTCTCAATATGACACCTAATGAAGTTCTCCGGATGGCTGTTCCCCATAAATTAACTGCAAAAATGGAAGCTTTCTCTGTTCACTTGCAAGCTGAGTATCAGGGAGGTATTTTATTCAATTCTGTGAAAGGTTAGAGATTCATATTTTTATTTCTGTGAAAAACATTTTCTCTGCCTGTTTTATTCTTAACTAATCCTTACTCTCTTTGCTAACATTATTATAACTTTTTACCTCTCTTTAACCAAAAAGGTACTGCTCAAGGACATGTTCAAAGTGTGTGTACTATTGGTCCTTCAAATGTATTATATTTCCTGAATAGAAAAGATGTCAGGCAAACTTTTTTTTTTTTAATATGCATTGAGGAGGCCAGTATACCAAAAAGAGAATTTTTTTTTTTAATTACACTACTGTTGTGACCAAAACTTGGATCACCTAAAGGAACCAAATCACTTTGAAGATACAACATAAATTTAATAAGCATAAAAAAAAAAATACAGTGTAAACAGGACTCCCCACAAAGCATTGGTAGGTTGGTGATTAGCCCTGAACAAAAGTTCATATACTTCTGGCCTGCTACATACACAGTGTAAATTACAGCATAACATTGGAATTATTTTGATAAACCCACCTGGGTGACCTTCCTATTATTTATTCCTTCCTAGTACATTGCCATGTTAGCTACACTAACTCTGAGATATGGCCAGTGAGTATAAACAATTTGGTTTAATGGACCCCTGATTCCTGTTTGATTCCTCTTCCTGACGTCACTCAGGGTCAATTCAACTTGCTATGAATGTTTTCTTACAAGGCCATTTTAAGCAGTTCACGTTGTGGGGGGTGGCACTTCATAGGACTGGTAATGAATGAAGCTCACATGTCCATGAAGGGATACCTTTTACCACCATACTACCCAAAGGTTTATATTATAAGATGTAGAGGTCATAAGGACTGGCCTTTAAGGACAGGAGGAAGAGCCACTACCAAGACAACAATCGGACAGGTATGGCTTCAGTCCATTCCAAGAAAATAATTTGTGAATACATCTCTGTCAGGTCCCTCCCAAGTTGATTGATAAAGTGTGGGAGATAAAGTGTGGGAGGAGGGAAGTAAATTAGACTTGCAAGATTCTGTTACTATAGCTGTTCCAAGAAAAGTAATTTTAGATCTATATGAGATTGGTTTCTTGGTTTCTGCCTTATAGGCTGTGTTTCATAGGGAACAAGGAGTGAACAGTTCCAACTAACATGCAAATAGTAAAAAAAAAAAAAAATAGAGCAGGTTTATGAATGTATGTATTTTGTCAAGATGAACATCAATGATGGGGAAATGGATGGAGTAATTTTCAGACATGCAAATCCTGGTAAAAAGTATTAGGCAATACCTGGTCTTCATAAGAGTTCTGTTGTTATGCTAAGAAATATTTTTTTCTTAATTACTATCTCCATTTATTAGTGTGCCATTAACAGTGTGAGAGGACAATATAATAATATTGTCTCTTATGTTATAAGGTAAATTCTGCACATCACCATGTAAGTTGTCTATAGTCCCAAAGGAGTGACTCCCTGAAACACAACTGAAAGGAGGAATGATGTAATTTCTTCCATTTCTTACCAAAACTCTCCTTTGCAAAATATATTTATTCAAAGGCAGATGGGTAGAGTCATCTTGGAAGCAAAATAAGCAGAGGTAAGTCAAATTACCTATTGTTCATCCTAGGTGTTCCAGAATAATCAGAAAAGAGCCATTTTATACATGCTGGATATCTTGCAGTACACAGTGTATTAAAATATACTGAAAATGGTTGGATTTATATGAGTAATTAAAATATATTAAACAAATATACACATAAATGTGGTTACTGCAGATATAACAATTCTATAATAAAAGGATGCATTGTTACTGTATATCTGATAATTGAGAGAAAATAAAATGCTCATAATTAATGGCTTGGGAAATTTTCTCTTTAAAATAAGAAAAAAAAATTCTAAAAGCCCTGAGTACATTAGAGAATATGGGCATCTCTATCTGTAGTGACTATATAGTTTGTCAAGCACAATAAAAATAGTGAGAAGAGGGATGATAACAAAATATTTTTACAATAAACCTTTTAGTGGTTCATTATCCAGACTTCCTAATTCATTCATATGGATACAAGATAGGATTGTAATATTCTATTCCTTGTGACAACAGACAGAACATTGTGTATAAATGCAATACACAATGGTTTCTAAATGAGATCTTGGTCTTACTTTGAAGAAAATATTTTAAAGAGTTCATCTGATTCTCTTAATTTGAAATAAAACCAAGATAACTCAATCGGGCAATCATCATCTTTAGTCTACAATCCTATATCCATTTATCTGTACTCACTAGCCTTAACTCCAATGGATATGCACACTGAGAACATAAGCCGTAAAATACCTAGGTATCTTAGCAGTAGAAGGGTTTTACCTAATATTCAGAAAGACTGGATATCTTTTTGCATGTTACACAAACTGAGAACTCTGTGCCAGTTTAACTGAAGTCACACTGAAGACAATAACACTTTTCAATAGATTCATACTGGATTGTGCTGTAGCCTTCCCACATCCTAAACAGAATAACACAGCTTCTTATTTTTTTCTTTATTTATTTTAGGTTGATATGCCTCAAGGAACAGTTTGTTAGAGACTGAAGATAATATGAGGATTTTTAAATTGTTATTATGATTATTTTTGTTCAGGTATAGACTTTTCTTCCTCTGCCCAGTTACTTCTCTTGAAAGTTGTGATATTCAGTAGGCTTTTTTTTTTTAATTGACCCCTGATAGCTGACAAACTTTTATATTGGTATAATTTGCAATCCAGAAAAGAAAAATAATCATACCTGGTGAATCAATAAACACATATCTTCCCAACAGGAGAGTAATCTCCTAAACATCTGAGTCTGTCATAGGACTCTCTTTTAATATTATTTCTACTCATACTTTTGCATATATGGATATGAATAATGCCTATAGCAAGAATATTTCCTCAGATTTGTTACTTCTGTTAATCTCCAATCTGTTTTTGTCCAGAATGAACGAAAGAACTAGAATGGCCAACAAATCTGCTGTGACAGAATTCCTCTTGATGGGATTTTCTGATGACCGTGATGTACAACTTTTACATTTTGTAATGTTTCTATTTATTTACTTAGTTGCCTTAGCTGGGAATTTACTCATTGTGTTTGTTGTGATCCTGAACCACCATCTTCACACCCCTATGTATTTCTTTTTGGTCAATTTATCCCTGACTGATATTTGTTACATTACAACCACCATCCCCAAATCAATGGCTGTCTCATTAACAGATAACAAAATGATTACTATTCCTGGATGTGTAGCTCAGGTCTTCTTAGTTATTGCTTGTGTAGGTTCTGAGGTTGCCTTGCTCACCATCATGGCTTATGATCGTTACGTTGCTATCTGCCATCCTCTGCGATATAGCTTTATTTTGAACTGGGATGCATGTAGCCAAATGGCAGTTGCTTCCTGGATTACCTCCCTCATCCATGCTTCGTTGCAAACCACCGTAACTTTTCAGTTACATTTCTGTGGATTGAACATCATTGGACAGTTTTTTTGCGATGTTCCTCAGTTACAAAAGATTTCTTGTACTGATACAAAATTTAATCAACTTTTCATGTTGATAGTTGGATTTGTTGCAAGTTCATTTTGTACAGGATTTGTTTTTGCCTCTTATGGTTACATCTTCTCTGTTATTCTAAAAATTCCATCAATTCAAGGTAGATATAAAACTTTCTCAACTTGCAGTCCACACTTGACAGTCTACTCCTTATTTATCATCACATCTATGTTTTCATACTTGAGGCCACAAACTCTTTCCTCTCCCACAATAGACTTACTCTCTGCTGTTTTATATGCAGTTTTGCCTCCAGTTCTGAATCCCATTATTTATAGCTTCCGAAACAAGGATATCCAAGAGGCTGTGTGGAAAATAATATCAAAAATTAAAAGAAATTTCCAAATCTGATTAATCTTACTTCAGTGTGACACAGGTATTATTAGGTTAAGACAACCTCCTTATGGAGCATGTGAATGATTTCCCTATTTGCATCTTCCTAAGGTAATCTAGCTTAATGTGCAGAAAGGTTGTGCACCCCTCTGCTTTTGATTGTTACAAATGAGTATGTGCAATGGGGGGAGATTATTGAAGAGAAAACTTTGCACAAGTGATCTTTTGCACAATCATTGAACAAAGTCCTCTGTTGTTTATTGTTTGTAATTATTATATCAATTCTTTATCTATTGAAATCCTCTTGTTTCTGTATGATCAGAGTCTACCATTCTCCCCAATTAGTGATTTAATTCATTTGCATTTTAAAGGTATTAAATATTGTTGTAAATGATTTATTTTAGATTTCCTTGGGGCCT